ATAAACAAACTCGCTCGACTCTCTCGCAGCAGGACTTCCGTGTCCACTGTAGAGAGAGATATGGAAAACGACGCGTTTACTGTTGCGTCACACCACAGCCCGACCGTATCCATGGGCCAGGACGTAACAATATGATATGATAAACTGTAAATATTAAAGTAGTGCTTGCGCAAACAAATTCTATAACTATTATTGTTTTTATTTTGTATAAATTATTAATTCAATGCAGTAATAACAGTTCTATTTTGTTTAATTTAGAAAAAGTTCGGCGAACGTCTATAGACCAACTAATATTTGATTTAAAAGATGAAAGAAAAATATCAGAAGAAGCTACAGAAAGGCGACACAAAGAAAATCTAGAGCAACGCGACAAATTTCTTAGTACTTTTGAAAAAATGCTAAATATTTTAGAAAAAAAATAACAAGTATTTTATTTAAACAAATATAATTTTTACAGTTGTGTTCTTAAAGTTTAATAAAAAAAGTTGCAATAATTTCAGTTAAATAATTAGACAAAAGTAAACTTTTGAAACGTTTTGTTTTTTTATTAAATATTAATATTAAATATTAATTAATATTAATATTAAATATTACTTAATATTAATTAAATATTAATTAATATTATTTAAATATTGTAATGTAGGATGTACATCAGATGACTGTGATTTTATTTTTTTATATAGTTTGCATATGTGATTTAGATAGAATTTAGAAACAAGACAATAAATTTTTACTTTTAGTACAAATGAGATATAGTCTGATATATATATGTAAAAGTATATATATGTAAAAGTATGTAAAAGTATCTTCCAAAAAAATTATATGTATTGTATTATAGTTTGAATAAAGTAAAAATACAAATCTGAAATAATGGAATAAAATTTATTATTTAAGAAAAAGAACACAAAAAACACAAAACGAAAAAGAAAGAAAAAGAACACAAAACGTCCTGTTTTTCTAATAAGTTTACAATTTTAGGTTTTTTTAAAAAAATATAATATTTATAAAAATTCTGTTTAGCATCTGATTTATTTCAAAGTATAAAAAACATTACAAACTACTTTTTTTATTTGTATGAAAATAAAAGAATCAAAATACATTATACGTAATATACATTATATAATAAAATAATATAGATAATAGATATTTTACATATTGCGCATAATCAAAGAGTTACAAATTTTATTTTGTTTTATACTTCCTGCATTATTATCATGTCTTTCATTCAGTAATTGAATATGCTCATTTTCTATATCTATTTCCGCGTTTGGAAAATCGTCATTTTGCAACAAACAGATGTTATGTAGAACACAACATGCAATGATAAATTCTGGGATTAAATCAACTCGTTCCATATCAAGAACTGTTAGTAAACTTCTAAATCTTCCTTTTAATAAGCCAAATGCTCGTTCAATTACAGTTCGAGCGGATGAAAGACAATAATTGAAATTTTTCTGTCTTCTTGTTAAATGTCCATTGTCGCGGAATGGCGTCATTACATGATTGTGGAGCATATAAGCTGCATCACCAATCAAATGAGTATCATTTGGGAACTTTGTTGGATCTTTTAAATATTCATATATTTCTGATAAACGAAATACTCGTTGATCGTGGACGGAACCAACGTGTCCGGCAAGACAATGAAGGAATCTTTGTTCATGATCACAAACTGCCTATTACAAATAATCATATTATTATTTTAATAAATCATAGTAGTTAACTGTTTTTTATAAATTTGTTACATATTTATATCTAATTTAAAACAATATTTTGGCGTTTTGGCGGAAGGTTCTGCATCGGCGAGGAGAGAGGAGTACTCCGTAGGCGTGTAAAAGATAAAAGCTCTTTTTATATATGAACTAATATATTTACACTATGTACAAGGAAATGATCTTTGGTTTTTATAAGAGGGGCCCTGAGAAGGGCCGTTTGTCT